TCAACGGGACGGAGCGGGTGCGGTTCCTGGACCGATACTTCTATAACCAGGAGGAGTATGTGCGCTTCGACAGCGACGTGGGGGAGTTCCGGGCGGTGACGGAGCTGGGGCGGCCTAGCGCAGAGTACTGGAACAGCCAGAAGGACATCCTGGAGGACGCGCGGGGCCAGGTGGACAACTACTGCAGACACAACTACGGGGTTGGTGAGAGCTTCACAGTGCAGCGGAGAGGTGAGCGCGGCGGGCGGGGCCTCCCTGTGAGCTGTCAATCAGAGAGAGAGAGAGAGAGAGAGAGAGAGAGAGAGAGAGAGAGAGAGAAACTGAGAGAGACCGAGAGACAGAGAGACACTGAGAGAAATAGAGATAGAGAGAGACTGAGAGATACTGTGAGAGAGAGACCGAGACAAAAACTGAGAGAGACTGAGAAAGACTGAACGAGACCCAGAGAGACCGAGAGAGACCGAGACTGAGAGAGACTCAGAGAAAGACTCAGAGAGACTGAGAGAGAGAGACTGAGACTCAGAAAGACTGAGATCGACTGAGAGAGAGAGAAAGACTCAGAGAGAGAGAGAGAGAGAAAGAGAGAGAGAGAGAGAGAGAGCGCCATCTGTGAGCATTTAGAATCCTCTCAATCCTGAGCACGGAGCTCTGAGGACACAGGTGTGTGTGTGGAGAGTGGATTTGTGTGTGAGGCTGTTCTGGGAGGGGAGGCAGGAGGGGGCTTCTTCCTATCCTGGAGGTCTCTGTGGGGAGGTGACATGGGAGGTGGCTGCAGGGGCTGGAGAGGGAGGAGACCTGGATTGTCCTGGGTCCTTAGGGATGCAGGAAGGGAAGTGTGAGGTGTGTGTGGCTGGGGTGAGGGTTTAGGGGAGGAGAGCTGAGGGGTGTGGAAGGTTTGGGATAGTGTGAGGAGGCCAGTTCCAGACGTCCCTGCACACACCCTTCATGCAGTCTCTGAAATCAAAGTGTGTGGTGTTTGTTTGCAAAAGCATCAGATTAATTTCTACGGGAACCGAGGAGACCACTGAGACACCTCTGAGGCGTGTTTAGGTCTAAATTTTTTACACTTTTTTGTTTTCTTAGTGTGTATATTTTTACATAGTTGAAATGACTGTGAAACTATCTTGTTGAATAAAGTTTTAACACATTTTTACTGGCCGGGCGCGGTGGCTTAGCCTGTAATCGCAGCAGTTTGGGGGGCCGAGGCTGGTGGACCACGAGCTCAAGAGATCGGGACCATACTGGCCAACGTGGTGAAAGCCTGTCTCTACTAAAAATGCAAAAATTAACTGGGGGTAGTGGCATATGCCTGTAGTCCCTGTTACTCGGGAGACTGAGGCAGGAGAAGCGCTTGAACCCAGGAGTTGGAGATTGAGGTGAGCCAAGAATGCACCACTGCACTCCAGCCTCAGCGACAGAGTGGGAAAAAAAAAGGAAAAAAAAATTGTTACTATTTTAATGCTAATACTTTTCTAGTAATTACATATTATTATTATTATTATTATTTGAAATGGAGTCTCACTCTGTCACCAGGCAGGAGTGCAATGGCACAGTCTTTGGTCACTGCAACCTCCGCCTCCCAGGTTCAAGCGATTCTCCTGCCTCAGCCTCATGAGTAGCTGGCACTACAGGCGCGCACAACCACGCCCAGCTAAATTAATATTTTTACTAGAGACAGGATTTCACCATGTTGGTCATGCTCTTCTCAAATTCCTGACCTCCTGATCTGCCCGCTTCGGTCTCCTAAAGTGCTGGGATTACAGGTGTGAGCCACCGCGCCCGGCCTTATTCTAATAGTTGTGACACAACTTACCTTCCTTTCCCTTTGGTGACCTTTATTTTGACACTCACCAAAACTGAAAATGTATGTTTCTGGTTAATTTTTAATTTATATATTTGTAATGTGTAGTTCTTTTGAATTTTTTTGACCTATTCATTGCCCGATTATAATGACTGCTCTAAGAATTCCCTGTTGTATTTGGGAGGTAATGGACAATGATCTGTTGTCTGTTATTTCCAGGGCTTAGTATTTCTCTCAGTGATTTTCTAGGTTCTTTGTGCTGTAAGACTAGTAACACTGTATTGATATTAGATTCAGCATTTTCTCCATTTTGTGGTTTGTATGTTGATTTTGAAAATTGTTTTCCATCTTAAGAATTTGAACTTTTATTTAATAAAACATATTGCAAAATTTGTTTTAATGATTTACAATCCATCTTAAATCTATCATTTTGTGGTACTGTTATCTACAGGCTTCTGCTTCTTTCTTAAAAAAAAAAAAAAAGTATTTATTGTGAGTCTGCTAGTGTCAGGATTTTCCTAGGCATAAACACCCCAACTAATGAGTCCCAGACCCTGCCTTGACCCAAATGTCATTCTGGAAAGAAAAATCACTTTACAATGACAGGTCTATAATAGTTATGCTTGTTTTGCATGGGAGATGCATTGATCAGCTACATGTAAATGTAAGAGCTTCAAAACTAAAATGACTTTCCTTCATCCTTTCTGCTTTAAGATTCATGCTTTTCTAGGAACTTAAAGATTTGGAGAATCAGTTCTGTCTGTCTCACCTTCCCAGGGGCAGAACCGTTTCTGTGGTGTTCTAAGGTGTGAGTGCATGGTGGTAGGATTCCTAAACATTCATCCTCAGTTTCCTCATGTACCTTGCTCTGTCCCTTTATCTATCCGCATGCTTTAAATCATATTTTTCTCTCCAGGTGTACAAGGCTGATAAACAGGTGCCAAGTGGAGCACCCAAGTGTGATGAGCCCTCTCACAGTGAAATGGAGTGAGAACCTTTGTGACCTAATAATTGAAGTCTGTCTTCAGTCATTGTTTTATATATTGATGTGCATTAACCCCATAAAACCCCAACAGATGAATTAGTATAATTATCCTCCATTATAGGCGAGAAAGTTGTAACAGAGAAGAATTGAAAAACTCTTCCAGGATCAATCAGTAAAAGGCGGACCTTGGATTTGGACCAGGCAACCTGGCTCAGATTTGAGTTTTAAATAATACCATCTGTATTTTCAAAGATTTGTAAACACTTTGGCAATGCATGCCAATTTCAAGCTATGAAGAAACAAACACCATTTGTCACAACATCGCTCAAATCTAATGGGTCCCCACTATAAAGATTAAATCCCAGGCTGATGACACTGTGAGGCTACATGGCCGGCTGTGCCGGAGGCCTGGTCAAGGACAGAGTATGGGTTTACAGAGAAGCAACAAACAGC